ATAATTATTTCAACAGAGGTTTTAAAGTGCCTATAACCCCCCAAAAAATTTTTGGCCATATTAAATCTCTCTATTGCACTGAGCAAACTGCCGCAGAAAAGCTTTGTGTTTGGTTAAAACTGCGATTTTTTTATGAATTTTCAAAGTCGTGGAAAATCGCATTTTTTCAAAACACGACCGAGGCACGGAATTATCAAGATGGGTCTGGGTCGAGCACAGTCTGTGACGTCATTCCAGGCTTTCCAATGAGTTTGCTTCAAGGACTGGATTAAGTATCTTGACGGATATGCCTGATAAGTGCGTTGTTTTCGGGTGTAGCAACACTCCCAACAAAGAAAAAAGGATAGCACTTCATTCGATACCTTTTCATGGGGCACATGACCCGGAGAAGAAAAGAGAAGAAAGAAGTGGGTTGACTTTGTGCAATTCAAGCGTGCACAATGGAGTTGGAATTTGCGTCTTTCCAACTGTTGAATTACGGTCAAGTCGCTCACGGTTCAATTCGCCAACGCCAACTCGCCGACGTATAGAATCGAGTAGAGACGTCGGCGAGTTGGTCCTCAATCCAGTACAACTTATTAGAAGTTATACATGTAGAAATGTAAACGATCTTTAGTAAAAAAAAGCATTCTTTTTCTTCCAACAAAGTTTATAAGGTTCTCAACGAGAACAAAGCATGATAAACATCGCCAATTACAGTAGCAGCTTCAGACGCGAACGAGTTATATTTATTGTGTGACAACAACACCGTAAAGACTCATCATGTCAATCGCGAAAATGTCCCTGTGATTCCAGTTTATGATTCCACAACAGATGAGAACTACACTCTGAAGGTGGCCTTAGGTAGTCGTGTTTACTGGTCAGAAAAATTTGTCAAGTGGATATCATCTGGCTGTCGGGTAAGTGAAAAGTTAAAAATGAACATTAGGACAATAATTACTGTTATAATTTTGCATTGCTTTCAACACATTTCAGATAAGTCGTTCCTTTCTTAGTAATTTTTGAAAAATTATTACGGTATTGTAATAATCTTCATTCACTGGGCTTATCATTGTATTGAGGCCAAACGTTGTTTTGATAACATTTTCCGTTGGTTCTGCTGTCGTAATACAGAGTGATAAGTAGCGGCAGCCAAAATCATTATGATAAATTTCATCACTTACATCTTCTTTTAATTTATAATTCCAGGTTTTGGCAGCATCAGACCGATTCATAAATTGTAGCTGCAACCATTTGACATCATTTGGAGGAAGTCTTTTAATTGAACCGAATCCTATTGACTTTGACAAGGTTCTACCCGAGTTCCAGCAGTTACCAGAGACTGGAAATATTGCAGTAGTTGTGGCTATGGCGGTAGTTTTATTGTGTTATGTGTCTGCACTTGCTATCGTGAGGAAATTCGACAAGGAAGACGCGAAAAATGTAAGTAAAGAACCAGATTTTGCTTTTGACCATTATTTTCACGGGGTTTGCTCTCCAGTACACTGTATAACTGTTTACAACCAAGAACTGATTGTAAATTCATATCTCCAACTGCTAAGCATTATTTTTTGAATAAGTCATGAACATTTGCTAATAGATGAAGATAAAATTCTTCTACTTGATAAGTTTGAATATTCTTATTCCTTACTTACTGGATAATATTTGGATATCAAAGGTAGAAATTACATATGGATCACCGTTGGGAGTTAAAGGGTTAAGAAAAACAAGGCTTTTCATTTTTTTTCTTACATTATTTCCTTTAAAGGCTTGTTGAGATGAATTTGTTGATTGTGAATTAACAGTCAATTAGATTAAACCGTCTCCAGGGTTTACCATGTATTTTTGGAATGAAAGAAAAAAATCTAATTGAAAGTAGGAATTAGCTAGTCATGTAAATAAATTATGCTTTTTCATGTTTTGTTTTGTTTTTTTTTTTTAGGAAGAATCCCCGATCCACCTTCCATCTTCTCCAAACAGTACATGTGAATACGAAATAGTGATTACTACTGGTGCGTGGAAAAATGCGGGCACGACTGCCCATGTTGCTTTGGAGATTTACGGTTCTGACGGAAAGAGTGGCATTCTTCATCTAAGCCAAGAAGAGCCTCGTGCAGTCAATATGTTATTTTCTCGAGGTAATTCCGATGTTTTTGTACTTTATGTTGACAAATCACTTGGTTCGATTCAAGGGCTACAGATTGGTCATGATAATTTTGGAGATAATCCTTCGTGGTTTCTTGAGGAAATTCTGATTCGGGACATACAAACTAATCAGTCGTGGAAATTTATGGTGAATCTGTGGTTTGCTCTTGAGCGGGGAGATGGGCGCATCGAGCGAACAATCTACAAGACCTCAAATCATCTGGATTTCGGCAGTGAAGTTGCAAGACGTTGGCGAAAAGGCCTCGCGGAGTGGCATATTTGGATTTCAGTTGCAGCGAAACTACGAAGAAGCCGCTTTACAAGAGTACAGCGGCTTTCTTGCTGACTGTCAGTGCTTTTGACATTCATGTTTGCTAACGCGATGTTCTATAAGTTAGAAGGAAATTACGAACTGCCTATCCAAGTTGGACCGCTTAATTGTCGTGGAGATAAGTTGTGACAGGCATTGAAAGCGCACTTGTTGTGGCACCCATAAACATTATGATAGCGTTATTTTTTCAGAAAGGAGCTGAAAAGTGCGTAACAAACAACGGCTACTGTCATAAAGTCACCCTTATCACTGGTATCGGTTGGTTTTTGTTCTTGTACTGTTTCGGCTGCGTTTTCAATCTTCTACAGTCTAATTTGGGAAAAGAGTGTCAGCGAGCACTGGCTATCTTCGATGCTTATCTCATTCGCCCAGGACGTAACAATCAAGGAACCAGTAAAGGTGTTCTTCACAGCTCTAACTATTGCAGCCATTTTAAGGATAAAGGCAAAGAGATCAAAAGTACATGCCTCTGAAAGCCCTCAGCAAGCTAAGACTGAGTACTCTAATCAAAAGTTTTGGGCACTGCAATTATCAGATGTGGAAAAGATGAGGAGACAACAAGCTAAGAAACAGAACCTGACACGATACTTCACAGAATTGTTTGCATACCTGGTCTTCGTTTTCTTGCTAATGGTAGTGTGCTATGGAAATAGAAATGATCATCGGTACATGATGACGAAATCAATCAGAGATGGACTACCAAGCTTCAGCAGGGTGAGTAGACGTTATTTGATTTTGATTAATATATTGCTGAAATTTCCGTGTTTGATTGATCTTACAGCCTTTATTCCTATGTGGGGTTCAAATATGATTATACACGGGGAAATATTACTTTGACGGCCTGCTGAAGAACTGGAAAATAAAATTGTTTATAGACAATTCAGACATTGGCTAAGGCACTTTCTGCTATGGTGACTGACGTTTTGAGCAAGACTGAGACTCAAGACTAAGGAGAGATTCCAAGCAGAGTGGTATAATGCCTTAAAGATATTGACATTCTATCAACCTTTGAACTCCCAAGATCCTTTTGTTAATTCTCCCCTCTTGCTACAAGAAGTTACAAGAATCAGTTACAAGAATCAGTTACAAGAATTTGGTGTTAGATCAAGTCTTCAAATTCTACATGATAACTTTGAGCATTCTTATTACCTGTTTACTGAATCATTTATGGAAAGCTTGGGGAGAAGTTCTATGTTAATCACTTCTGGGTTAAAGGAGGAGATTTAGAAAGTGGCTGCTAACTCATTCAGACATCATTGAAATAAATAAACAAAAATTAATTTTTGAGGGAATGGGGTGTAATGGGAAATAGAAATAATTTTGGGAATTAGAAATAATAGTCTAAAAACGGGCTTAAAAATACTTACTCGTTTGCGTAGATCGAACTTCTCATCTACTCATACAGCTAAACGTATAAACCAAGCGGAATATATCTAATCCGACGATCTTGTATTAATACAGGTGAAAAACAACACTATGTACTGGAACTGGTTACAGAGAGTTTACATCCCAGGAGTGTTTTCCGGAAGATGGTACAACAGTCAAGAGGAGAAGAAAACGATGTATATTGGTAATAAACACTCTCTTCTTGTCGGCATGGCTCGAATAAGGCAACTCAGAGTGAAATCGAGTAAGCGTTTCCCTGTTTGTTTGTTTAATTATTTATTTATTTATTAATTGTCTTGGATTTTAGTTACAAGGCTATTTACACATACACACTTAACGCTACACTTTATAGTCACACACGTATAACCGGCTCTGATAGTGAAATAATAGTGCCGGTCAAATCTCTCGGCTTCTGACCTTTCTAACAGTTGGTTATTAGCGGAAAGCTGCGTTTCTTATTCAACGTAAAAGTTAGAATCGATCAACGGCATTCCTCTCTCCCTTAGGTAAATTCTAAGGGTTCTAAAATTATCTTTTTTTTTTTTCATAACAGAGATGTCCATGCCTTTTTAAAGTACGATTGAAATGATACAAATCGCTGAGTACAATGAATACCAAAACAAGCTTCTTTGGTAACAATCCTTTGTTTTTCAAAATGTAGCACAGTGTAAAGTCCCGAACTATATCGAAGAATGTTTCGAGGGATACTCGATAAAGAACGAAGACACGGCCGCGTACAAAAAACCAGGCTGGAGGCCTATTGACAATGCTACGAGGAATGACGAGTTGCTACGTCTTTGCCCGAGGCCATGGCGATATCAACATGTTGAAGACACCGACACTATACTTAGGTGGGGAAAGTTCTCCTATTATCATGGAGGAGGATTTGTAGCAGACCTCGGATATCAGAATCATACAGGATTCAGCATAGTAACAGATTTACAAAAAAACAATTGGCTTGACAGAAAAACTCGAGTGGTCATCGCAGAGTTTTCTACGTTTAATCCATCAGTAAATGTTTTAGGTGTTGCCACATACTTCTACGAGGTTCAAACATCTGGGCTGAAAACAGCTTCCATGGAAACCCACAGTCTGTCAATTGATTCTACTGACACTTCCTCTCATCAGTTTTATTCGATTTGCACGTTTCTCTTCATTGTATCTGTTTTTTTGTATTTTGGGAGAGAAACCTTGAGGCTTTATAATCATCGTTCTCGATATTTTAAGTCCATGTGGAATTGGATCGAAATATTCCAAATTTTTTTCTCTCTGTTTGCCGTGGTAACTTATATGATACGACAGAGTAAAGTTATTTCAATCATGGGCAAAGTGCATAAAAACATTTACGCAAATCCAAGTTTTCAAGAAGCTATCACTTGCCAAGAAGTAGAAAACGCCGTCCTTGGTATCCTGATTTTCATCGTCACTACCAAGCTCTTGCGAATCATTCGCTTCAACAACCACGTTGCTCTATTCTCCAAAACATTGAAGATATCTGCACGATCTTTGACCTCGTTTAGTTTTGTTTTTTTAATTTTCTTTGTTGCATTTTTGGACTTCGATGTCGTGATGTTTGGTTGTTTATCTGAGCGCTACTCTTCGGTGCTAAAACGAGGCTTATTTCCAACTTGAGCTAGCTCTTGGTCGAGTGAAAGCTAGACCGATCAAGGAACTAGCAGAGACCAATACCATATACTTCAAAGTATTCGCGTATCTAATTCTTTTTACTCTTACTGTCCTGTGCATGAACTTTTTCATCGTTATAATGAACGATTCCCTTTCGGATGCTAAGAATAATGTGAACGGAGATGAGCTGTATGAACTTATTGATGAGCACCGTTGCTCGGCCTCAAAAGAAAGAAAAAAGTGTTTAGATGCAATCAGTAACACATTGAGTCAGTTGAAAACCTACCAAAAATCAGAAGTCGCAAAAGACAAGCATTCAGGAAACGTTGGCCTTGACTCCAAGAACACTTTGAATCTGAACTTTAATTTAAAAAGTCAGGCTACCGTAGCTTTGAGGGATAAAAAATCTAGAGGAACAATTAGTAAACAGCAATGCAGCACGAGGAAACAATCATTTTTTGACAAGATAAACGACATGTCAAAATCTCTCAAAGGTGAAAGCAATGAAGAATGCAGCAAACGTCCAGAAGAAAAGAAAGTGAGATTTGAAGAGGATGTCGTAGAGTCTTCTCTCCGTAAATTAGGCCGGAGAAAGCGTGACCTGTTACAACGACTGGAAAGAATTGTTTCAGAGTTCTCAGAAGAAGACGAAGATTTTAATTTGTTATTAAAAACAGCAAAGGCTCGAAACTTCAAGACTTAGAGACAATAAAAAGAAAATGTGAAAAAGAGAAAAGAACTACATAAAAAACTAAGATGAAAAACGGATACTTGAGCACAAGACATCTTGCAGAGAAGCAATGAGTTCCTCAGCGTATCGCAGGATTGTAGCGAAAAAAGGAAAAAAAAAAACCACGGAACTTTTTTTTAGAGTTTTCTGAGCTGATCCCAGAGGAAGAGCTTGTATACGACTTTTCATTTGAGCCAAGTGATTGTACATTAACATGGCCCGTATTTAAGATTTGAAGGCCCGTATTCAAGATTTGAAGCATGATATATGTGTCTTAGAGTTTCGTGATACTTGCTGTAAATATTTTTAATCACTTTTATTTTTAGTAACTGGGGATTTCTCTTCATCGTATTCAACATTTTTATTCGTTTTATTTACTGTATTGTAATGATGAAATTGATTAGGTGTGTTCATTGAATTGGACTTACTTATTTATTTCTTTAGCGCTTTTGTTCGGAGAAACTAGCACCACCCATGCTTCGCTGAAATTCGAACGGAAATAAAGTTATGTATGCAAAATTGACATCATGTTGCTGGTCTCTAACGTGTTGACCCGCTCTCCCCTTATGCTTGTCCAAGTTTCTACGACACAGACACCAGGAGGATGCTTAGAATAATCTTGC